CGAGCTTGAACATTGTCCCAACGTGACCCTGCAGGAAGTGACTACTGAATGTCAAAGGTTAGTGAATTTGAAGCATGATACCTCGATGGTAGAAAACGCTAACCACTTTCTCCACTTTAATGCTATTGAGAGAAAAGTCTTCCAAGGTTCCAGCATACAGAATTATCGAAATGACAGCGATAAGCCATCATCCCCATGCTGGTTATCAGGAGGTTGGCATTTCAAAAGGTTTTGTCCGTTTAAAAGTCATCGTTGTACTACTTGTTCCAGGAAAGGACACAAAGAAAGTCACAGCAAAACTCGAAAACGCCGTCAACCTAAAGTTTATTCTAAAAGATTCAAGCCACGTACAGCCAAAGTGACGGTAGCTACTAACAAAATCGGCTCCCACAATCGCAGAAAGTATGTTTCCCTCAAGATTAACGGGTACGATACCCGCTTACAGCTAGACACAGCCTCCGATATAACGCTTATAAGCAGGAGGACGTGGGAGAAAATTGGGAGGCCGAGAATCTATTCGAGAGCACACAGAGCATCTGGGGGATTTCTAAACATTGCCGATGTGTTTCACTGTGAAATCACATTCGAAGAGCTTACGGAGAAAAGAGTAATATTTTTGACAGAACGGCTACCACTTGACTTATTGGGGCTTGATTGAATAGAAAGGTTGAAATTATGAGATCGTCCCATAAACTCAATCTGCAACAACGTCAGTGTGTCGAAAGTTGGGGACCCAACTTTGTTTCGTGGGGAGGACAAAGTCGGCAAATGCAGTCTGGATACCGACCCGAATCTTCAGAAAAAGAAGGGAGAGTGTTGGGATGATCCTGTACATTTCTCGTAATCGATATTACAAGCTCATGAAACATTATGAAGCATTTTATCCAATCAGCGTTTCATTACAAGATTTGTTAGAAACATAGCGTTCAATCTACAAGACGTATCAGTGGCGACGGGGAAAAACTACAATACACAAGACGTATCAGTTTACGTCCCAGCAGCACTGTTGATACAATCACACGCAAATGCTTTCGCTAGATCGTTTAAAAGCCTCAAGCGTTAGATTCATGCAAAGTTCGCGGTACTATCTTTTGCACTCATCGCGATGCATACCATTTCCCACAGGATATCGACAGACTGGACTTTAGCAGTCGCTTGTTTCACAACATCCAGTCATCAATCTGGGGTTTTCAAAAGAAACTAAATATAAAAAATACTCAGAGGCAAGAGAAAGTGATGACGAGAAAAAGTAGAAAATATTAAGTTGATAGAACCAAAAGTGCAAACAAATACGGAAGAACCAGTGTACTCAAAAGTTCTGATGATAAATTACGTTCAAAAAAACGATACTCTTGGAGAATACTTTGGCGGAAATAGGTTCAATCAAAGTGAAAACGGTAATTTCGATGTTTAATTCATAATCAAAATAATAAATTCACCCAGGGAAAAATACCAATGTTCTTTTTAAATAGCAATGCCGAAATGTAAATGAGTCTGTTTTTGCAAAAATAGCAATATTACTAAGCAAAACTGATCCATTTTGAGAAAATGATTGGTGTTACCTGTCTATTGAATCGTTGACTTACAAACCTTCGCGACTTGCATTGTGAAGTGCAATGTTGGGTTTCTGGAAGGATATTCTGCTTGCGGTGCCCGGGAGTGCTTGGTAAGTTGCATTCCGTTATCAGGTAACTTCTTGTTCTTCTCTAGCCTAACGAATGGAAAAGCGAAAGGCGATGTCACTTTTCGTAGGGTATACATTTCTATCCTACATTTCACATTGCAGTGTACATTTATACACAAGTTTAGAAACTAAAATTTGAAGCTTATAAATGTTAGGGAGCTTACGGCTTGAAAACCCTCAGAAAGAATTCAGTAGTCAATATCCCTACTTGCTTTTGGACAAATTGAAAATCAGAATAGGCTTCCACTGCATCTTTACGGTTGTTAACAATAGATCCATGAATTTCGCTCACTTTTCATTTAAGGAAGTGCTTTATTTGATTCCCTCTTATAGCTTAGAATATAACCACGTTGATTGTTTGGTTATTGAACATCAAACCCTCATTGTACATCCATTCCCTCAGCAATGTATAAATAATACCTGAGGAACGGAGGATGGATGAATAACCACTGATGAATGTTAGGAACAGGACAGAGTTTAGTATGAAACCTTGTGGATCATTATAATTAGATGCTCTTAGCACAGAAGTGATTACTTTTTATCCTGTGGTATACTTCATTCACGGAAACCATGTATATTTCGTAATATTAGATGTTTAAAGCATGAAAAAATCGGATATAACAAGTTGGTGTGTAGAAATACTGTTCATTTAGCTACTACTGATACCAAACCATGTCCTTCATTTTCTAGCAATAGTGGTGATTCCATTGCCCATATACCATATTCATCCGTGATTTCGAAAATAACTGTCCACAGTCAGAAGCGGCAATATACTTACCTTTGTTCATTCCACGATTTCATTATTTGTGGACAGTGTACACTCCATTATATGTGATAAGCCTTGCTAATTAAACTCTAGACTCGGATCCTAAACTAGTCTCGTAAACCCCAGGCTAAATCTACACAGAGACTTGAACACGAGACAAAAGGCGCAAAATGTACGAAAAGCACTTTACTCCAAAGGTTCATTTATGTACAGAAAATATAAGGTTTTTATAGTATTTTAGAAGTTCTTGGATCTTCCTGAAAATTCTGAAACGTTACTAAACATAGTAGCAGTGTGTTATATCCTAGAGAAGACTTAAGTATGGGTAACTTCCGGGACCTATGAATGGACGATTATACTATGTATACTCTTATTGTTTAACTATTGAGTAACTAGATTGTGTATATCTATATTCATCTTATTATAAGCTTCATTTTGACCTGTGAATTATCATCATACGAATTAGTGTCCCTAAATAATATTTAATTTATTGATTACTGTCTCTCACGTTCACAGCCACTTTGGCCCGATCATGTATAAATATTATTTTCTATTTTATGGTGTGATGTGGTCTGTGAACGTGGGAGACAGTAATCAATAAACTGAATGAAATTTAGGGACGGTAATTCATATAATAATAATCGAAGGCACTTTGGATGAAACATGAAGCCATTTAAATGGTTTTCAGATCTGTTACACAAACGCCCGGAGCTTGCCAAATAAGCGATCGAAGCAAAGTGTGTAGAATGACTCTACCATACGGACGTAATCGTAGTCACAAAAACTTGGCTGACTCTGTCGGTAGACAGTACGGAGCTTGATTTTGAAAGTTTCATATTAGCAAGAGCCGATAGAATACAGCAAAGCAAAGGGGAAGTGGATCTATCTCACTTGTCGTTATCGATAACATATCCTATGAATGTGGTACGTGTTAACTAGTTAGTTGCCGCTTCAAATGAAAAGGACAAGGGCTGCTGATTGGTTTGATCTACCTCAGTCCAAGCTGTAAGGTGAGTGAGGTATTGTAAGATAGTCTCAACACTTGGTTACAAAGTAATCGATGTTTAATCTTAGGAAACTTTAATGCACCTACTGTAGACTGGAGCGGTCTGAGAACTGATTTGTTGGAAAACTCCCTGGAACAGGAACCAGTTGATGTGGTTATCGCATACGCCTTGGAGCAACATGTGGAAGAAGCGACCTAGACTCTGAACCATCCTTACTAGACCTTATATTGACTCATTATGAGGACGACGTCACAAACCTCGATTATAAACCACACTAACCACATGATTCTCGAAGTTAAACATGCAATTACTGAGAAGATTGTCATTCAACATGTAACACTTGGAGGAGGTCGGTAATGATAAACGTAGGAAGATCCATTCAGGATGGCATGCTTCGGCCATGCCATCGTGGTTATTCCATGTAAAACCTACTGAACCTTGTATTGAATATATGACTTTCTATCCAGCTCAAATATGTTCTTCAGAAATATTAGACGTTATATATTGCTGATTCTTACAATACGAGTCAGAATCGACAGGGATACGACTTCTACGTGAGACCTTATAGACTAGGTTTTCGCATCATGACGTCCACAATTTTTGTATTAGATCTGTTATTATTGTAATACTAATACCGAACTAGACCATAATTCCACAAGATCACTGGATACTGACGAGACAAAATAATTGTGCCTCGACCCTCCGCAAGTCTGGAAATTTGAACGAAAAAAACTTGTTGAGGAATCTATAGAATGCCCAAAACGCTTACATTCCTATATAAACCAAAGGACTAAGAGAAGTGAAAATATCCCAGCATTATGGGGTGACGATAGCACTACATCGTTAATGGAGGACAACTATGGTAAAGATGAGGTATTCTCAAAGTACTTTAGCAATACACCATAGAGATACCTTTCCTTTCAGTTCATATAAGCCCCACTACATATACTGGACACTGCGATCACTAAAGAACTCGGTGTTTTTGGTCTTTTAAACGGGCTTGATGTAGGCAAATCCATAGGACCCTACAGAATGCATCCTAGGTTATTGAGGCAACTGGAGAATTTTGTCTCGAATTCCTTAAGCATATGTTTCAACCGACCTGTAACTCAAGGTTTATTACCAAAAGACTGGAAGCAAAAATTTAAGGAACTACTCCAAAAGGGTTCTCAAACCCAGGGCAAATTACTGGTCAGCTGACTTTTGACTTTCACATCTAAACGTCAATACGTAATTAAAGCTTTACCTTCGACGCCCTCAGAAGTCATTTGAACCGAATGAGGAATTACTATTGCCAGGACTAACATAGGCCAACTAAGTTTCCTGTTATTTCCCTTCCAAAGTGAAATTGAATAACCATTAATCCAATTGACCCTAGGACTATGAGACATAATGTTTAAACCACCCTCAATGGACTGTAATTAAGACCCTAATCAGTTCCTTATCATTAATTAGCGAGCTCGAGAAATCACTTACTTGATTTTAGCTCATTACAAAGATTTTGTACATAAGGTATTGAATTTGACATTGAAACCGAAAGAACAAAGGCGGGTAGTGTTAGTTGTGCGATAACATATACCACTAAAATGTGAGTTGATAACATCCAACTATTTGTTATATGACATATTCACATCAAACAATAGCGAATATTTGCTTCTTGGAACTTAAAAAAATGGAAAATAGCTGATAACGTCCGTTTTTCCTTGCAGAATGCAATGTTGCGACCGAAATAGAAATGATGTAGATATATACTAGTATACTAGTAAATTATTTGACGTAAGAAAAACGTTTCAGTCTATGCATGAGTCGTTTGCACTGTCGATACGTTTTGGATTTCTATATATATAAATTCGACTGAGATGCGACAGAAAAGGGAAAATTCGCTTTATTTCACCCGGACGGGCGAAAAAGCAGACATTTTGGCGCATTTCCCCTCTTAATTCCGACTTATCTTTCAATGCATTTTCCGCTTTATTTCCCCTTTGTTCACCTTTATTTCCCCATTATTGGTTGTTTGGCTGTATGCTTTTCTGACAATAATCATTGGAATTATTTTACTTTTAATTGCCATTATCTACAGAAATTGTATGGACCGCTTTTGCAGCGTTAAACATAGGAAAGAAAGCCAAACTTTATCTTACGCGCATTTCGGCTAATTAGGTTGTAATTATTATAACAGATAAGTAATGCTTCCTTATTATTTTGGTTGGTGTGAGAACATCCAGCTGTACTTCTTTTGTGTTAGAGCCCTTCCGAACTGTTTATCTATTCATAGAATGTTTATATGTATATAGAGGCTTCAAATGTAAATGAATGAAAAGACCTGAATTAAACCAGTCTTTTGAAGCTCTCGATTTCGAACTACCAGATTTTTGTGGAATTTAAAAGCACATCTTTCAAGCCTCATACCACTCACTTAGGCTCGACATTTAAAGCCTGTGAGACTATTTTGAAGCTTGTATATCTTTGGGCTGTTCATACATTTCAATTTCTATAACTCTAATTTATTACCTTATCTCAGTTTTATAAGTTCCTCACTAAAAGTTGTATAACTTGTCACGCAATATAATCGAACCTGGTTACTCACACGTTTGTTCAGGAAGATATGTATGATAACTAGCTTCATACCATGTAGTCGTATTGCTGTTTGGTACTGATAGATTTGATTCCTAACGTGTTGAATATGTTACTCTTGATTTTGTCAGAAGAACATTTTAACAGGTTTTGAAACTGATACTGTCGTTATTTTCAGGGCATCCAGGCTCTTAAGTGATAAACAGAGCGTATTATTTTTCAGGGTAAACGCATTTCTGAAGTCTCCATTGGTAATATAAGAATTACGTTTGGACGGCTTTTGATGATGTAGCTGGTGGTCTTACGATCAGTGCTTGTAAAAATAGTTTTTGAATCTTATTTCAAAAAGAAAATGCTCCGTCAAACCGTTGAATCTGCTCGAACTGACTTCCGTAATATTAGTATTCAAAAACTAATATTGGTTTAGAAGATTTTGGTACATGTGTGGGAGATTTCAGCAAATTTTCCTATTCACACTTAGGATTTGTGCACTGAGTACAAAGACATAATGAGCTATAACAGTCCTTTTCTAGTAAGCTTTGGCGGGTGTCTAATCTTTTTCTGAATGGGTCAATTGAGAGTGCGGACACAACTTCTTACGGTAGTAAGTCCAAATAGTTGGTCACACTATGGAATGATCTGCATACCACAGATATCTTATTCTTTCTTGAATTTCGCACTCACCTGTCGTGTCCTCTGATTTGTCATAACCTTGTTGATGGAAAAAGAGAGGACATCCAGTGCTGCATGTACACTTAGATCATCAAATTATTCCAATCTACAATGATATCCTGGATTAAATATGGCGAACTGATGAAAACTATTATGCGATCTTAGGTGACTTTTGCAAGTTTAATTGTAACTTGATTGATGACATTGTATGCACCTGTGTCTATCTTCATCTGACTACATTACTCTTTGTCTGTTTATACATATACGTCCTTCTTAATTATATTCATGTGAGGTTTTGTGTGTCTTGCCTTATGTTCGTCGGTAATCTATGCTTTAATTGGTTAGTCACAATTGGTACACTGATTTGCCAGCTACTCGCTGAATAAGCTGTTTCTGCTACTACAATTCACATCCATTTCTTCTCATCTGTCTCCCGAAGTAGATGCATGAAATATAAATTTTAGAAATACTTCCACATTTGACTTTTAATCATATGTGATATTAACGGGGCTAGCAGACAGAATATATTTGGTTAAGTAGAAAGCAATTTTCGTAAACAGTGATCATCATTGCCCTCATGAAGTCAACTATTGGGAACCAAGTATATAACATGCCTGAAATTATATCTTACTATCCTGTACATCAAAAGTAGATCCTTTTTAACTCTGAGTTAGGAGGTAGTAAAAATATTTAACTTGTGAGGCCACGCTGTGTTTGTTAACTCAAGATTCCAAAATTGCACGGGTAGCTGTCCTTTATGAATTTTTAAAGATATCTTGGTCGTTTTTTAAGCATGAAGGTTTGTATCTCAATAAAACCATGTTCACCATGGCAAGCATATATATATATATATATATATATATATATATATATATATATATATGCAAGTTGGTAAATGTTTGTCTTAACGCTTATAGATCTCCGGTCCCTTTAGCTGCCTCCGCATAAAAGTGAGCCGTGGTCTTAGTGTCAATACTTTAGAGCATTGTGAGACAACTTAAGGCAATGAGGTTTCGTTCGCACATGTATACGATCTTTATACTATCTCACAATTAACCGAAATCAGACATTTCATCTTTAGAAAAACAAAGCTTTAGAGTAGGTCTAGAAAATCAAGAACGTGTCGGATTACTTTTTTTCACCAGAACAGGTATATCATTTATTTACCGAAAAAATACCTTCAGGAACAGTCAATTATCTTCTATGACTTCGGTGATTGTTTGCAAACCAGTTTGACTAGATGTTTTTTGAACATTAGCACATTCACATAGGACGGAGCGATGAGATGTTTTTATAGCTTGACAAAGTCTGAAAATTTGGCTACAGTGAGATCTTTAGTATTTGTTTCCCTTCATGATCTAATTTGTTTATACAATTTGAAAACAATAGGCCACATCATGTGGATGTCTCTCTTGATATGTCAAATGCTATAAACCTGGTTCGTTAGATTAATGAACTTTTGTTTTCGGTAGCCTATACGATGATGCACAGAAGTGATTTAGTATTGCGGGAGCTGTATAGACTGCTTACTTTTACTGAGTAATGCGACTGTTGATTGGCCTATATGACTACGTAGACTAACATACATTCGCTTCAGGCTCCGCTTTGTTTAGGGCTGTGCGATATATACTGAATCTTGTTCTGTGGATCTCCCGCTTATGATTGCTGAATGAAATTTAAAATCTAGTGAATTTTTGAATAAGCCCCATCGATTTAGGGTGTTTTTGCCTGGACTTAAAATTACGAATCGTCTTCTCATCAATCTTTTTGATACCTTTTATTCGTCAATGAAGGCTACACGAAAATAATCAGTTAAACAAATAACTGAAGGTCTAGCAAAAGAAATTGTCAGTGAGATAAGGTGAATGCGGAGACAGTCATGTCTGAATGCACCTTTTCAAGTGTGGGTAATTACAAAATCAGATAATTTACCACATTTATGAAGTTTATAATGATTGCCATACTTAAAAACATTATTGAATTTCTTTAGTTTAAGTAACACCGCATACTGTAGAACATATCTTCTGTGCTCATAGTTAGATGGCTTTAACATTTTGTTATTTTCAAAAATTGAGAGTCAAGATCTCAATGTATCTTTCCATACAATAGCAAAAGATTCAGTCATTTTAAATGGGGAACTACTTGGTCTCGTCAGAATTGTTCATATAAAGTAGCATATAATGTGATGCAGAACATACGCCAAATGACAAGAGCCGACATACTCTTCACACCTTGCTTTGCCACTATCGTATCCCAGTTTGAGTTGACTCACATATATTTCAGGCTCTAAGTTAATTATTACATGACTATTGGCATTAAGAAATGAAAAACTATATGAATATCTCTTTTGGTCTTTTTAATCTCTTATTATCTACCAATATATCTATGACTGTTTTTAGCTTTATTACGATAAATATCTAATGCACTTACAAAACGAATGTCGTTTTAATTTTATAGACGCAACTCTATAAATCGATAATTCAGATGACATAAAAGGGTAGTCGTAACCCAGTTGTAATAGGTAGATGAGTTGGAGAATTACACTTCATATATTGACCTTTATGTTTTATTTAGACTGGTTATTTAAGCGTGAAAACATTTAACTTAAGACAATGTTAAAACATGAGTTAAAAGACATGAGAAAAATGTACATCCTTAATCTGTGTTAAACCCGAATTTAAAACACAGAATTCTCTTACCACAACGAGCAATCATATTTTAAATGCCTAGAGGTACCAAGATTACTGATTACGTAGACTTCCAACGGTACTTTATTATGCATGAATGTTCACGTTAAGTTGATCATTGTAGATTCTTTCTCTGAATTCAGAGACACTTCGTAGTAGTGCTGGCTTCAAAATGTTGCCTATCATGTATCGAACATTTTTATTGTAAACAAATAAATGCGGCTAATAGTACCTTGAATATTCTCATTAACCTATTATGAGTTACTTGTTCACTCTTAAATGCCATATACACAGAAAATTTAAAGGTTATTCAGAAATTCGTTTTTGGTCCAAATACTTATACGTTTGGATCTAAACAACAATGTGATGAAAGCTATATAATTTAACTGCCGTCTTCAAGAAAGAAGCTCTCGTTAGATTTCATTTGTAGCTAAATAATGATGACTACTAAACAGAACTTATCAAATTCCGCACGCACCTTGGATACTGATATTACAGCCAAAAGTAGTGATTTGTACTTCATAGAAAATTTAGTCATTAAGTTCTGGAGTGGTTATTCTAACCTTTGTTTGAGAATGTATGCTAGCTAGCTATGTTGACGTCTTTATGAGATAGAAGACTCGGTGTGAGAAGATTAGTTGAGGCTTACGTAAAT